TCACCGGCGCGTGACCACCACGCGCCGGCCGTTGACCGGCGGCGATTTTCCAATGGTGTCAGAAATTTATAATTTTTCACAGGAAGATGCAGAATTTCATGCTGATCATCACGGTATATTCCGTTTTCCGAAATGGGTTCAGGATTGGCCGGAATCTGCGATTTTCCGAGTGACTGGCCGGAACTTGCGATCGCCGGTAAGGGCGCGTCCGACGTCGGAATTGGATGATTTTTTAGTCGAAGGTTCGCCTTTTCATGGGTAATCTTATGGTCTGGCGCGTGTCCCTGTTTGAGCTCTGTGGAAGGGTTAATTGAAAAATCAGTTTTCGGCCCCTCGGGATTCGATCTGTCAATTTCGGGCGATTTGGACGAAATCTCTACCACCCCCAGGGTTTTCGGCCCTTCTGGAATCATTGGTGATGGTCCCATATCCAAATTCTGATCAGAAGTGGGTGTTTCAACGACCTTGGGATTCGTGCCATGATTTTTCAAACTCAGATCTATTGAGTTGGGGGATGAATCTGATATTGGTGTTATAGGAGGTGTTTGGGTGGTTGTTGGTGATGATTTTCCACCACTTAGAGTGCTGCAATCCGGTGGTTTTGGTGGTGGATCAAGTTCGTTGGAGTTTTGGAGGTTTTCTCCCATTCTAGAGAGAAGGGAGAGCGTTTTGGAGGTAGAGAGAGAAAGTTTTTTTTTGCCTTCGATTGGTTTAGGGTTTAGGGTTTAGGGTTTTAGGGTTTAGGGTTTAGGGTTTAGGGTTTTTTTTTTGAGGGAAAATATCTATCATTAATGTCTAATCAATTTATCTCCCATACGTAGGAATTACAAGTAATCTCCAGCATTTGTACCTAGAAAGGCGCTCTGTTAGTGCTCCATGCCTTTTAAGGACATTTGAAACTGCCAGGAATAACAAAAAAGTACATGTTTGATAACGGATGAATTACAAGGATACTTGAAATCTTGAGATAGACAAAATCTGCAAGAGTATATACATCTCGCTCGGGTAGTCTCCAGTCTTGCATCTTCCGCTTGCACAAAATTCACTTCTTCCATATTCATAGCGAAAGGCCTCTCCTTGATCGAGTTGCTGCATTTATTTGAAGGTATCTTAACTTTGTAGAATTAAACGCCCAAATTTCCAGAGTTTCTTTGGCTCTATTTGTTGGTGGGGATCACCAAAAGCCCCAAGAGGGGCAGGAGCTGAGGTGGGGTTTTGGCACGGTGACGTGACGCGATGCTGGGAAAGGCCGGTTTAGGGTTTAGGGTTCGGGATTAGGGTTCGGGGTTTAGGGTTTAGGGTTTAGGGTTAGGGGTTTAGGGTTAGGGGTTTAGGGTTTAGGGTTTTAGGGTTTAGGGTTTAGGGTTTTTTTTTTTTTAGGGTTTAGGGTTTAGGGTTTTAGGGTTTAGGGTTTAGGGTTTTGGGGTTTGGGGTTTGCGGTTTGGGGTTTGGGGTTTAGGTTTTAGGGTTTAGGGGTTTAGGGTTTAGGGTTTTGGGTTTGGGGTTTGGGGTTTG